AGTATAATAGCCTACTCAGTGCCATTACAATAGATTTTCTCATAAAACGGGATCATCACTTTTGACTTTTTCAATGCTCAATACATAGAATTCGAATTTTTAATGATTCCGTAATTTTCTTGCGAGATATGCAATGTCAAAAATTTTCTCTGAGCGGAATCTGCAAACTTCAGGGTCATAAATTTTTTTGTAATATTTTTTCCTTGCTAAATTCTATTTTGTGTTACTTAATCTTTCTTTATTTAATTCATTCTTATGTGTAGAGATTGTTCTACTACTCTGGAGAAATTGGAGATGATTGTACTCTGGAGTCCTTTAAAATCCAGGGAAAAAAAAGTTTCAATGTTTTGCTGGCCACATATTTGAATGGAACAAAGACTACAAATTCCTACGTTTTTTTATCAAGAATACCGGCAGAGATCATTGCTAGAAGTTGATTAACAAGTAATTATAACTATGCGTAGACATAAGTCATACGCACAGATATTGTTACATAACCTGAGCGAACGATCTCTGCAGGTATTTTGAATAAAAAAAACGTGAAAATTTTTATTAATTTTTTCTAATGTATTGCGGGCAAAACGTTCGTACTTTTTTTTCAATTAGAGAGGACTCCTGAGTATAATAATCTCATATTTCCTCAGAGTAGTAGAGAATCTGTACATATCAAACTTAAAAAAAAATAAAAAAATTAGGGCATCAGAAATAGAATTTAGCACGGAAAAAAATATTTAAAAAAAAATCCACAGATTCGAAGTGTTTTTAATTTTTGGAATTCCTTCTGATTCTTAAAACGATTTTTTTAATTAAAAAAAAAGAAAACTGAATCGCCACGTTTCTTAATTAATAAAAATTAGGGAATGAAGATAAACATCTGAAATTTGCTACAGAATTTCAATTTGGTTCATAAATATGGCAAAATTAATCTTGAAATTCGTTGGGGGTAGATTCACCATGCCTATTCGACTAGACCCTTTCGACTGCATTGGGATAATTTAATACGATGTGAAATAAAATGATGAGATGCACTGATTACTGGGAAATTACAGTTCTGGTGTGTTTAATAATCACATATAAAATATTGTGAATTATCTTCATGCGAGTAGTGAACGCAATTATTCAGAATATATATTTTAACCTGGTTTTAAAATTGTCATGGAGAAACTACTCCAATGGTCGTAAAAAAATGAAGAAGCAAGCAGGCGACAGCAGTTGTAAGTCTGTAGATGAGTTCTTGAAATATATGGGGTTATTTTTTTGCCACCAATAAATTGCTTCCGAATGGTTTTTATAATGTTTTCCCCGATTAGGTTAGATCTATTAAGAGTGCATTAGACGAAAATTTTCATATGAAAAAAAAAGAATTGGATCAAGTCAATTTTGAGATATTCCACATAATCATTGTACACTAAAAATGGAATATCTCCGAAATTAATAGTTCAATTATGCTCATTTTCAATACCATTTGTTGTAGTAATAAGTGGAAAGTTTTGTGCAAATTTTAATTTAATAACCCGATTTTTGCACGGGTGAGAGGGCGAACAGCAATCTTTTTTGAAAAATATAAGTAACAAAAACGATTTTTTCCAGATTTCAGTTTTCGATTGATTCCAATAAAGCCTATCACGACGAAACGAATGAAGTGAAAAAACTGAATACCTTCCCTAGTTTTGGAGATATTTTGAAAAATTATTTATAAAGAAATTACGACTTCTGAAAAACAGTTTGACCGATCGAGCTGAATCTAGATCTTGAGCTATTTTTTTTCCTCACCACAATATCTTTTATTAACTAAAGCATCCCTGAGCAGGGGGAACCAGACATAGGCATTTTCAAAAAAAATTGTATTTTTACCTTGCAGATCATTCTACATCGTTTCCAAGCAAAATTAGATTTTTTTTGGTCGGGATCAGACGATTGCAGTGCTTCCATTCGGAAGCAAAAATGAGGAATAATTCCGGCGAAGGGTTCAAGAGCGATATTGATTGCCAATGATCTGCCAAGTAAGCAGAAAAATAAATAAAAACATAGAGCTTATATACTACCATGATGGCGGAGAATAATACACTTGACAGTCAATAACAATACAGAAACAAAATGGTCAATCCACTTAAATCGATATGACTCTTTACCCCCCTGTAACTATCTTTCTACTTGTTTCAAAATTATTCTTTGATAACCATGAGAGGAATTTCTGCAATACAATTTGTGCGCCAGATTTTTAGATATTTTAAGCTAAAAACATTAAATTCGAACTGAAGATCAGGTTCGATAAATAGAATAATGGTATTTGCAAAATTCATTTCACATCCGCAAATAATCGACAACTTTTAATTAATGGGGACCAGAATTATAGAAGCAAAATAAGTATACTCCAAGGATTAATGTGAAGGTCTTTAAAATTTTCAATTTAACCTTTCTTTCAGGGATTGTTCTTTCAATGGGTTTGCGGCAAAATTTAATTATCACTGGATGACTTCCGTTGACTTTTCTGCATGTTGGTACGCGACTGAATCAATTTATCAATTAGATTCACTCCATTAATAGCAATGAATTACTAATGAAATTGAATCAAAATAATCGATAGGTCAACGGTGGAGCTCAATGCTTAAATAATACCTTAAATGATGTTTTTATGACGATTTGGTATATGAATTGATATTTTTTCTTACTCGATGGTGATCTCTTCGATTATCATAAGGGGAAAATGGGTTCCAGCTTCCCCTGGAACTTCGGTGATCATTATAAATTCTTGGAGTCTTATTGCGTCCGCCCCGACCTCCATAAAGATTCGTCATCTGCTTTCTATTATGGTGAGCAGTTGGACTGCTGTTTCTGCACTGATAGCTCGACGGAGTACTAGTAAATGGTATATAATCACTAGTACTGGTTTCCCCACTCGAAGTGGAAGCGTAAACAGGGCAGGACATATTTTTTTGGCCATAACCTCTGTTGTTATAAGGGTCGTATGATGTCCAGTCCGATCCTGATTTACTTATACCAGAACGATTTCCCTGAGGAGTATTGAATGGTGTCTTCTTCATTTTCTTATACTTTCCCAATGTTTTAGTCACTGCTTTGGTTAATCTTTTTTTGTGAATATTCACGCGGTGTTTACGCGTCCCAAACAAAGATAATAGGAGAAATTAAGGCCAGGATGGAGGGAATTTTTTCTTGATTGGCGATTTTACGCCCTCCTACTTCGCGGTCAAGACCCGAACCTTAATCTCAAGCGATGCCTTGTCGGTAACTACGGCAATCGCTGGAAACCAGGGAAACATTGGACAATGGGGCTTTCGAGGGCGCCGGAAAATTTTTCCATTCCCTATGCCACTAAGTGGCATGAGAGATTTATATCTCAACAGACAGGAGAGGGGGAGAGGGGGCCGGTTGGGGGGGAGATGTATCCAAATGTGGAATCCACTTTTTTCGACCATCACTAAACCTCTTTTGAGATGATCGATGGGATAAAAAAAAAGTCTCTACAGGGGTAACTAAATCGACTCAGGGGGTGATTCTGAGTCGATCTGTACCTATAAATTTCGACCTTTTTTTTTCACCCTCACTAACCCTTCCTCAAAATGACCGATGGGATGAAAAAAAAAGTATTGACAGGGGTGGGTAAATCGACTCAGGGGGTGATTTTGAGTCGATCTGTACCTCTAAATTTTTTTTTTTTCACCCTCACTAACCCTCCTTCAAGATGACCGATGGGGTAAAAAAAGTCTTTACAGGGGTGGGTAAATCGACTCAGAGGGTGATTCTGAGTCGATCTGTACCTATAAATTTCGACCTTTTTTTCAAACCTCACTAACCCTCTTTTGAGATGGCCGACGGGGTAAAAAAAAAAGTCTCCACAGGGGTGGGTAAATCGACTCAGGGGGTGATTCTGAGCCAACCTGTACCTATAAATTTTGACCTTCTTTTCCCACCCTCACTAATACATTTTTAAGATGGCTGACGGGATAAAAAAACGGTCTACAGGTGCATGTAGATTGATTCGCGGAATGATTAGACGGAGTTGCAGAGTCCAATCAGTGTATTGGAAAAAAATAAAAATAGAAAGGTGAACTGAGTATATTGGAAAAAAACTAGGGGTTGAGGGGTTGGGAAGAGTGTGCCAGGGTTCAAAGGAGGTTGATGGTGGGATGCACTCATTCAGTGAAAAATGATGGTTGATGGTCGAATGAGTTATGGGGAAAATGAGGGTTGATGGTGGGATGAGTGCATTGGAAGAAATGGGGGTTGATGGTTCTATCAGTCATGGAAACAACGAGGGTTGATGGTGGGATGAGTGGATGGGACAAAATGGGGGCTTGACGGTGGGATGAATACGTGGGAGAAACTGAGGGGTTGAAGGTCGACTGAATTTATCAGGGTGGATTGGGGTTTTAGGGTGGGATGAGTGTTGCAGGGTGAAATGGGGGTTGACAGAAGGATGAGTGCATGGAAATCAATGAAGAGTTGCGGATGGAATGAGTGTGTTAGGGTGAAATGCCGGTCGATGATGGGATGAGTGCATGGGTTAAACTGAATTGTTGAGTGTTGGATAAGTGTGTCAGGGTGAAATGGGGATTGATAGTGC